GTATCAGAGATGTTGGTGTAGTATAACTGAAGTAATGTTGTTAAGTCCTTAAAGTCATATTCTTTTATTGTCATGACTGTATTTGAAGCTATTTTTACTTTTGTATGATACCTGATTTATATGGATTATGGCGTGAAGTAAACTAAAGCCTAAAATACTTAGTCAGTCATTTGTTTAATAGTAATTTAACATTATATAATTAACATATAAAACTATGAATTGTATTTTTAAATGGTTTAAAAGCATGTAGAATAGCATAAGTAGGCAAGTATATTTCTCTTTTTGTTATTAAGAAGCAAAGACAAAAAGGACAAAAATAAGAAACAGGGCAGAGTTCAGTGGTTGACTCATCCGTCCCCACCAATGCCAAAACCAAATCTACACCCTCGATCTTACCTGTGTACAGTTTATCCATCTTTGCATCATACAGCATCCCCAAGGCAAAAGGGCGATTCAGGGCAGCCACCTCTACTTGATCTGAGTCCATGTCTCCAACCTGAGAGAGAAGATTCAGCAACATGTGTCAAAGCATCATAAAACTGAGAGGCAGTCCAGGAGTTTCTGATATAGCTCTCTGACAACAGAGAGATGGACAAAGGAAGGAATAATAAAGTTTGAAAAAAGTTTCACGTCGAAATTCTGAAGACAAAAAATATAAATTCACACATTAAAAAAAAGTGAATGCTGATGATGAAAGGATGGATAACTACTATTGTCTCCACCCCCAGTAACTCATTACCTGGTGAAGGTGTGCAGCTCAGCTGAGACACTTCTTGACTTTGACAGGATGACAGTCTGCAGACATTTTTATACCCTGAAATTTAACTCCTCCCCCAACATGAAACATTCCAATCAAAGATGTTGTGTTTTACATAAAAAACAAAAACAAAACACAAAAAAACAGCCACTGGACAGTAAGCCCGTTCTCTTTTAAATGACAATCAGAAATAATTTTGCATGCGATGTATCTGGTGCTGAATTCCTACATTGACTACATTCTCAAAAATTTCATGTGCTGTCTTCAAAAAAATGCTTTATTCTGTGAACACAAGCACCACCCATTGTAAAACCCCTATGGTCAAAAAACTAAGGCACTGTGTGTGTATATGCATGTGTGAGCACGTGTGTGTGTGTCTCTGTATATGTGACTTCCTGCCACACAATATATGCTTAGAACTGTTTAACCACATTTCCTAGTTATCCAAAGGTCATCTCCCCTGACCCCTATATGGCTTAAATTTAATGGTTCACCATATACAAGCATAGGCCAGCCCCTAAATGGCCGGGAGTGAACATCCTTTACCAGATAAGGAAACCAGAACCTTTAGATGGAATGTGCCTGCAGTTAAACACTATAGCATCCCCCACCCAGATGTAGGGGAGGGACAGAAAATATCTGAACATGCAGTTCAGGACAAGGTTTACAAATTTAAGTACAACAATGACAACTATTATCAAAATCAACCTAACAGGAGGTGAGAAAGAGATGATTTGTCCAAGCCGGTAAACAAGGCATTACAATAATCTAAATGTGATGACACAAATGCATGAACAATTTCTTTTCAGTTCAGCTGAGGAGACCATGTGTCGCAGTTTAGAAATGTTCCTTAAATAAATAATTTAAAAAGGAATGAGACAAAGATTTTACATGCGAGTCAAGGCCCAGAGAAGAGTCAAATATTAATCCAAGATTTCGAAT